CTATGGCTGTGTAACAGATCACCTTTAAACTTAGCGACTTAAAACAACAGCAATCTTTTTTTTTTTTTAACCCTTCAAGGTTCCTTTGGGTCATGAATTCAGACAATGCATAGCAGGGGCAGCTCGTCTCCACTCTAGAATGGCTGGGATCTCTCTTGGGAAGACTCAAAGGCTGGTGCTGAAACTGTCTGAAGGCTTGTACACTCACCTATATGGTGGTGGATGCTGGATGCTGGCTGGAACCCCCAGCTGGACTGTCAGCCAGAACACCTTACCTACGCATGGCCTCAGCAGCAGCTCTCTCCTCATGGGGTAGCTTGGGCTGCCTCACAGCATGGCTGCCAAATTCCAAGTGTGAACATCTCAAGAGGGGTAGGCAAAAGTGGTGTCACGTTTTAAGACAAAGGCTCAGAAATCAAATAGGGTCACTTCTGTGTAGTTCCACAGCCACCCAGATTCAATGGAAGAGAACATAGAGCCCACCTCTTCATGGGAGAAGTCTCCACATCACATTATGAGAAGAGCATAAGGGTTGGGATATGCTGTGGTGGCCATCTTTGGAAAACATGATCTGTCACATTACTCAGTAAATATTTGTTGACTGAATGACTGTTTTATGCTCTCAACTTCTTTCTCCACCTCCTTGCTTTGTCCCTTACCAACGATATGACTTGGGAAAACTTACTGTACCAGTAGGTCGCCCAGAGAAATAGAAACAATAGGAGATATAGATAGATAGATAAATGGATAGATAGATGTAGATATTTAAATTTATCTTTAAATCTATAAAGAGATTTATTGTAAGGAATTGAAGCACATGACTGTGGGGACTGGCAAGTCTGAAATCCGTAGGGCAGGCCAGCAGGTTAGAAACTCAGGCAAGAACTGATGTTGCAATCTTGAGTCTAAAATTCACAGGGAGGCCAACAGATTGGAAACTCAGACAGGAGTTGACATCGTAGTCTTTCGTTTTGTTTTGTTGAAGTATAGTTGATTTACAATGTTTCAGGTGTACAGCAAAGAATACATAATATATTCTTTTTCAGATTCTTTTCCATTATAGGTTATTACAAGTTATTGAATATAGTTTCCTGTGCTATACAGTAGGTCCCTGTAGTTTACCTATTTTATATACAGTACTAGTGTGTATCTGTTCATCCCAAATTCCCAATGTATCCCCCCCTTTTCCCTTTGGTAACCATAAGTTTGTTTTCTATGTTTGTGAGTCTGTTTCTGTTTTATAAATAAGTTCATTTGTATCACTTTTTTTTTCAGATTCCACATATAAGTGGTATCATATGACATTTGTCTTTCTCCAGCTGACTTACTTCACTCAGTATGATCATCTCTAGGTCCATCCATGTTGCTGCAAATGGCATTATTTCATTCTCTTTTACGGCTGAGTAATATTCCATTGTATATATATATATACCACATTGACCCTGTAGTCTTGACTCTGAAATCTACAGGGCAGGCCAGCAGGCTGGAGACTCTGGGAAAACTGGTTTTGCTCTTAACGTCTTCAGCTGACTGGATGAGGCTCACCCACATTATCAAGGGTAACTTCCTTTACTTACAGTCAACTGATTGGAAGTGTTAATAATGTCTACAAAATACCTTCACAGCAACATCTACACTGGGGTTTGACCAAACAACTGAGCACCATAGCCTAGCCAAGTTGACACGTAAAATCTACCCATCACACTTACCCTCTCTGAACCAGCTTTTTCCCCTTTGAAATGAAGGCAAAAGTCCCTTATAAGGCTGCTGGGAGAATGAGAACTAATGTATGGTAGGCAGCCTCTCCAATGGCTCCCACGACCTCCATCTCCTGGTATTCACACCCCTGTGTAATCCCTTCCCCTTGAGTGTCAGTTAGACCTGTTGACTCAGTTTTAACGAATAGAAATAGAATATGGCAGAAATGATGAGATGTCACTTCTGGGATTAGGCTATAGAAAGACTTGGCTTCCACCTTGCCCACCCTCTCTTTTGCTCAGTCACTCTGAGGGAAGCCGGCTGCCATGTTGTGAGCTGCCTTTGGTGGTGTGGAACTGATATCTCCAGCCAATAGCCAGTGAAGACCCGAGGCTGGCACCAGCCACGTGGGTGAGCTGGGAAGTAGACCCCCCCCCCCCCCGCCCAAACCACCACCCAGGAGAGCCTCTGGCTCTGGTTGATACCTTAACTGCAACCTCACAAGAGACCCTGGGCCAGAGGCACCCGGTTAGGCCACACCTGGGTTCCTGACCCACAGAATCTGTGAGATAATGAATGTGTGCCGTTTCAGGCCTCTAAGTTTGGAGGTATTTTCCCCAGGAAAATAATCTGTATTGACAACAACAAATACCTATAGAGAGGGCCCTAGAGATACAGTGGGGAGCAAAGGCCTAATGTCACTGATCTCAGAGAACTTGCAGGTCACGGAAGAGGCTAGTGAATAATTACACCAATGCAAATATAATGGTAAACTGACACCAGTCCTCTGCAGGGAAGGAATTTGTACACTAGGAAAGTGACCTAGACTAGAGGCGTCAGGGGAATTTCTTGGAGGAAGGGGCATGCAAGCTGAGATATCAGGACAAGTGGGCATTAACTAGATGAAGAAGGAAGGGAAAAGCATTGCAGACAGAAAGCACAGCACGTGCAAATGTCCTGTGATGGGAGGTAACATGGCGTATTTGAGAACTGATAGGGGATCGGTGTGTGGCCAGAAGACAGTGAGGGGGACAGTGTGAGAGAGAGGCTGGGATGGTCAGCAGAGGCCAGACCATGCTGACCTTGTAGTAAGTTGTGGGTCATGGATCTTTACTTGGAAAACAAAGGGAAGCCATTGGAGAGTTTAAGTGAGGATGTGATGTAATCAGATGTGTGTTGTTTTCTGGAAACCGTGTATAGATTGGATTAGTGGGAGGGGGAGGGGAGGCCGAGTTGGGTATGGCAGTAGCCCGGTGAAGGGGTGCTAGCAGCTTGGACCCTAGTAGAAGCTGTGGAGGCGATAAGATGGGAAGCATCAAGCTGATGCAAAACATCACCCAGCTCCCTGTGGAGACGAAAGCCCCAAAAACATGATGTCAGAGAACATTCAATGGATCTGAGTTCAAGTTCTGACTGTGCTTCTTATGAGCTGTGTGGCCTCTGGAAAGTTTCTAAACCTCTCTGTGTTTCAAAGTCCCCATATGGAAAGTAAGCGTAAGAAGGCCAACCTTGCTGGCTGGTTGTGTAGATACGCCTCGAAAGTGCCTGGGCAGTGGGCTGAAGCACCCCGTAGACGTCATAGAAGAAAATTCTGACCAAGACAGACAATTTAGCTCTAGCTACAACTGACGTAATGTGTTTTGGCTGTACTGTTTGAGAATATCCAAGTCTGCCACGGAAGGCAAGTGAACAAGCGGGCTGGATAAAATGTCACTGATAAGTAAGTTCGTAACCAGGGATAGATGTTAGGCAGATGACATAGAGCAGATAGGTGAACAGCGATAAAAAGAGGCGGAAGGAGCAAGAGATTCCTAATATTCATGAAGCACTAAATATACAAGAGACACGAAATATTCATGAGGCGCTAAATATATTTAAGGCACCTGAGGCACTAAATATTCATAATAAACTAAATATACATGAGGCATATGAGGCACTCAATATTCAGCCACCCATTGATAACACTCGTTCTGGCCCCATGTGTCCAAGAAATGCAAATAACCGTGGCTGCTCCCCGGGCTAATTGGAGCCGGGCAGCCATGGCCGGGCATGCCGTCTCTGCATCTCTCCAATTGAGCATGAGTGCGACACTGGCCCCAGGCACATTCCAGACTTCTGTGCACCTCAAACCTCAACTGTGGTTTCATACCCACACCATCAGCGGGGAAGGCGGAGGCAGCAGAGAAAGACAAAGCGTTGCCCACCCCAGGATGCGGGATGCAGGATGCTGGTACCCTGTCCTAAGTGTTTGAATCTGCCGCACCTCTCTTTGTGTCTCACTGTATTTTCAGCGGCTTCACAATCCTGTGTGATTTGAGCTCTCTATCTTGGTTCGGGAGCCTTTCTTTCCTGTGATCTCTGGGATCGCTTGCTTGGAAGTGTACTGGGTAGCCACTGTTGCCTGGGGGAAGAGGTGTGTTCCCACGTTACAGGTGAGTAACGCTGGAGAATGAAACTCTCCTGGCGCCATGTCAGACAGAACACGGTTCTAAGCAGGTCAGGCATTGCGGTTGGAAGCATGGGAAGGAGGTGTGGCGTGTGGCAAGCCAGCTCTGAGGAAATGGTGATTATCTGCAGTGGGTGAGCACTGACTAATGCCAAGGGTGCAGAGCTGAAGAGTCATAGCTGTGGGTGCCTGTGAAGACATTGAAAAACTGAAGTAGGGAGTTACTCGTGTCCACGGTAGACCTGTTTAGTGTCCTGTGAGATTCCTAGTCCCTTCGAGTATGTTAATAAGAATTCCCAAACTGGAAAATGGACCCAAAACACCAAGAGGTTAAGGACCACTATGGTAAGTGCTAGGCTCTGGTGCAGTAGTAAATGGTCCCCTAAATTCTCAGTGACTTAACACAACAAAGATTCATTTTTCATACACACACACACACACACACACACACACACACACACAATATGCCCATTTGGGGTTGGCTGAGGGTCTTGCTTTATCTTGCCCTCACTCCAGGACACCGGTTGATGGGCTGCTACTTAGAATATTCCCATCCATAGTGGCAAAGGAAAGCAGGGTCACTTCCTGCTCATAACTCATTGGCCATGACTGGTCACATGGCTCCACTCAACCACAGCAGGCCAGGAAGTGCCATTCTTCCACGTGCCTGGACAGCCAGAAACATTTCGCGGATGTCTCTGATTTGACTTCATTCGGATGTGTAGAAACTCACGGACACAGTAGGGTTTGGGGATGAGGGTGTCCAGATTGGACTGCAAGACCCAGACCCCCCAAGACTACCTTCAGAAGACCCCGTGAGGTTTTCCAACACCACCACCATCCTCAGTAGACTGACCTCAAGGTCCTCTGCTTCCACGAAAGCATTTATTCCAGGAGAAGGCAGCTGACGACAGCCATCCAGAGAGGCAGGGTCTCCATCTTCAGGAGACACATCAGGGTGATACTTGCAGTGGCCAGAGGAGGAAGGGTCTGGAAAGAAAGGTGGTAGATGGAAGGACATCAGGGCAGCCGCGTAAACTTGGCATGACTTTTCCAATTTAACTCGGGAATAAACACTTGGCTTTTTAAATAGCATTTGCTTTAAGTAGCCCTGTTAATTAGTATTAATTAGCAGCTTGCCTCCTAATTGGTGGTTTGCAAGCCAGGAAGTTGAGGTGGGGAGTGGGGTGAAGGTAAAGGTGAGAGGAGAGGGGGGCTTCTAGCTTTCTAGAATGAGCAATTAGTAATCATTCACATGAAAGCAGGGATGCTTCCAAGATTGACAAATTCCCCAGAGCAGTTACCCCTGGCTGGATTCGCTCACTATTACGCTTGACACAAACATACACCCACCCAGCTTCCTTGCACAGGTGGCTGCGGTGGCTTTGGGCCAATAATCCTTTCTCTCCAACCCTCTCTGAGCCCTGGACCAACGAAACTTTACAAACCCCTTTCAGAGGCATTGCCCTCTTGCCCGAGCCTGTTCCAGCATGTTCTCTTTCATCTGTGGCCTTGCTAAAGAACCCCGTCCAGGCAGAAGTTGCCAGATCTTTGGGAGTGTCCTAGGTTTCTGTCCCCTGGGGAGAGGAAGTGTGCCAGCTTGGAGAACTGGCTCCAGTCAGATGGAAGGGAAGAGAGTTGGTTTCCGGAAGGTCACTGAAATGTCAACCCCTGAGCTTTGGAATCACCGAGATTGGGTCCAAGTTCCAGCTCCTCTGCTTGCTATCTGTGTGACCTTGGGCTCATTACCTGTAACCCCTCTGAGACTCTTTTCTCATGCTGCTGATAAGAGAAACTTTTTTGTATAGACTTGCTGTGAGAGTAAATGAAGTCATGTGTGCTAAGTGCTCAGCGCTTTGCCTAGCATATAGGGAGCGCTCATTAAATGGTATCTATTATTATAAACAAATATTAGACTCATTAGATGAAAGTTCAGCCCTAATGAGGTCTTCAGCACAAACCGAAATTTGAAGCTAGACCTTTAGCACCTGCCACCAGGAGACCTCAGTCTCTCCTGGGCACCTAGAATCCAGTTGCCTTTGATAGATGATACCTAGCTCCTCAGGGGAGCCTGGAAACAGCAGCTAGCCTGCCAGCAATGTCTTAAACAACCCCATGGGTTGTGGAAAGAGCTTGAAGCCCAGCCGGCTTTTCCTGGTGTGTTTCGAGGCCTAGGAGGGTTACCTGACTTCAGCTTGTTCTAGACCCATGTTCTAGGGGACCCTGGCAGTCCTCATTCAGCCCTTGGCCCTAGGTACCAAATCATTTAGAGATTTCCTCTCATGGCATTTGTTATGTGCACCAATTAAGGTGACTTTCAACTGTAAGTAACAGTAACCAGTCACAGTGGCCTAAACAAGATAGTTTCCTTCTTTCATGCACAAAAGTCCCGAAGAATGAAGCCCAGGACTGGTAAGGTGGCCCTATTCCACCTAGTCCTTAGAGATCCGGGTTCCTACTATCTTGTCACTCAAGTGTGCATGGTCTCCATTCCCAAGGTCACCTCTTGGTCGAAGATGGCTGCTCCAGTTCCCGCTTCCAAGTCCACGTTCCAGCCAGCAGAATGGAGGACAGGTAGAAAAAGGGGCAAAGGATACATGTCAGCTGTCTTTTTTTTTTTTTTAACGTCTTGATTGGAGTATAATTGCTTTACAATGGTGTGTTAGTTTCTGCTTTATAACAAAGTGAATCAGTTATACATATACATATGTTCCCACATCTCTTCCCTCTTGCGTCTCCCTCCCTCCCACCCTCCCTATCCCACCCCTCTAGGGGGTCACAAAGCACAGAGCTGCTCTCCCTGTGCTATGCGGCTGCTTCCCACTAGCTATCTATTTTACGTTTGGTACTGTGTATATGTCCATGCCACTCTGTCACTTTGTCCCAGCTTACCCTTCCCCCTCCCTGTGTCCTCAAGTCCATTCTCTACATCTGCGTCTTTACTCCTGTCCTGCTCCTAGGTTCTTCAGAACCATTTTTCTTTTTTTTAGATTCCATATATATGTGTTAGCATACGGTATTGGTTTTTCTCTTTCTGACTTACTTCACTCTGTATGACAGTCTATGTCTATCCATCTCACTACAAATAACTCAATTTCGTTTCTTTTTATGGCTGAGTAATATTCCATTGTATATATGTGCCACATCTTTTTATTCTTTAACATCTTTATTGGAGTATAATTGCTTTACAGTGGTGTGTTAGTTTCTGCTGTATAACAAAGTGAATCAGGTATATGTATACGTATATCCCCATATCCCCTCCCTCTTGCATCTCCCTCCCACCCTCCCTATCCCACCCCTCTAGGTGGTCACAAAGCACCGAGCTGATCTCTCTGTGCTATGTGGCTGCCTCCCACTAGCTATCTATTTTACATTTGGTAGTGTATATATGTCCATGCCACTCTCTCACTTCATGCCAGCTTACCCTTCCCCCTCCCCATGTCCTCAAATCCATTCTCTACATCTATCAGCTGTCTTTGAAGGAAAGCTCCCAGAAATTTGCCACATGACCTTTCTCATTACATCTCAGTTTGGTCATGTGACCACACATGGCTGCAAGGAGGCATGGAGGAGAGATGGTTAATCTGCAAGAGAGGGAAACATAAAGGGGACACACAGAGACGTAGGAAGTGAGAGGTTTACCTCCTTCCATTAGGAAAGTCTCATTTGGAGCTGAAGTTAGCTAGAGTTGGCTTGTAACTTGCAGTCCAAACAACAACCAAGACAATCGTTTTCAAGGTCGTTTCCCTAACCCGGCACTAATGGTGTTGTCTACACCAATATACCTAAGAATAATCATGTGGAGGTGTTTGCTTTAAACATCCATTTTCTGATCCCATTCACCAGAAATTCCAATTCCCTGGGTCTGGGGGGCCAAGACCTGCAATTTCAGCAATCTCCCTGCCACCCAGCCACAATTCTGTTGTAAGCAGTCCAAGGACTACAGTTTGAGAAATACTGGTTTACAGCCGGTTCCGAGATATATCAGTTACTACTGCTGTGTAACAAATAGCCCTGAACTTACTGGCTTTAAACAACATCATATTATTTTGCTTACAAATTCTGTGGGTCAGGAAATTGGAAAGGGTATAACAGGGGCAGCTTGCCTCTGCTTCATAATGGCTGGGGCCTCAGTTGGGAAGACCTGAAGGCTGAGCCTGTCTCAAAGGTTGGGGCCTGGAATCACCTGGAGGCTCCCCCAGTCATACATCCAGGCGCTTTTGGCCTGGACCTCGGCAGGCACTGTCAGCTGGAACACCTACACGTGGGCCTGTCCGTGTGTCTTGGGTGTCCTCACAGCATGGTCCCTGGGTTCTAAGAGCCAGAATCCCAAAGAGAAAACCAGGAGGAAACTCGATGGCCTTTAATGACCTAGCCTCGGAAGTCAGGCAGTGTCACTTCAGCTGTTGTCACAGGCCACCAGATTCAAGGAGGAGGGGACATAGATCCCCCTCTACCTTACATTGTAAAAGAGCATTTGGGATGAATGAGAGCTCTTGTTAGAAAACATCATCTTCCACAAGGAGGAAACCTGGGCATCTGCAGAGGCAGAGGGACCTTAGGAAATGCCAGGTGGGCGGGCTTCTGGTCCCCACCCTGCTGGGAGCAAATCTCCCCTCCTCCTATCCGTTTTGTGTGATGACCTTTTTCATCAGCCAAGATTCTGCCTTTCTCCCAGGCTCTGACCTGGAACTCAGAGCCTGAGGCTAGGAGAATGGGGCCAGCCTTTTTGCATATGGCTCCATCGACTCCTCAGGCCTCCAGAAGGTGCCAGTGGCGTATTGGTCTTGCGGTCCCCGTTGGCTTTGCAGGATCCTGTGTGGGAGCCTCAAGAGGGAGCTGATCCAGACACGGAGGAAACCTCTGGCCGGATTCCACCTGGGGTGTGTCAAGGAACTCCATTCAGTATTTTTAAAAATCACCTGTCACGTGGCTCTTTTGCCAGCTTAGAATAATTGCCAAGTTTTTGCTCCCTAAACTGCATGGAAGGTACAGAGGAATTCTCTTTTCTTCTTTTTAATGTCAATTTCAACAGTGCCCTGTAATGGGATTCTTCACAAAGGAAACACACCCTGAAACCATGGTGCTGGATTCCTGGGGCCTCTGTCTACTCTGGCTGGGGCCTCAAACATGCAGTATTTCGAGGGCACGGACCCAGCTTCTGCTTGGCTGATTTCTTACCCGGGACCATGCTGGCAGGCTTGGCGAAGCCCCCTGAACTGAAGGATGGCCCCCGTACTAGCCACACTACCCTTGACCTACTGGATGCCGTTCCTTTTTGTTAAAATCAAGAGTAACCTTAGACTAACCTCACAGAACTTCATCTGGTCTTCTCACCTTCCAGATGAGGGAACAGAGACCAGAAAGCCAAAGTGACCCATCTAAAGCCATGTGGCTGCCCAAGCCTGAAAGCCTGAATGCCTTCTGACCCCTCCTACGGCTCTTTTATGAACGGGTCTTCGAAAGGGGCGCACCTCTCCCATCCTGCTAATTAGTGAAATGCCTCTCTTGTCCTTCCCTCTTTCTTTCTTTTTTAAATTAATTTTTATTGGAGTATAGCTGCTTTACTTCTTCCCTTTTTCTAAGCGCTTCCTCCCTTCCCTATGTACACGACCCTCTGCATTTGCTGTTCCCGTCAACAGATGGAACAGACATTTATTTGAGCTGATGTGTGCATTAAGCTCCCTCTGGAATGAACTTGCTGCTGATGGCTGTCATGGTTCAAGCTGTCATTCAAATAATGTGTGACTCTTCGATCCGGGCTTTGCCCCTAATAAACCCCTCAATGGCACTGTTAGGAAATCTTGGGTGTCTTTTTTTAATGTTGCCATCACAAAAAGCCTCCAGTGTCTGACAGAGGACAGAACTAGCCCATAGGCATCATTCAGGGAGGTTTTAAACAAGCCTGCCAATTCTTTGACCCCTCTCCCATCCAGAGGTGGCATCGACATCCTTTCCCCTTGAGTCTGACATGGCCCAGTGACTCACTTGGAACCAACAGAACGCAGCGGAAGTGAGTGACCTCCCAGGCGAGGTCAGCTGAGGCCATGAAGCTTCCACCTGGGTCTCCCCATCAAGACCCTCTCTCTCTACGTGTCACCTCCGGGGACACTTCCTCTCAGACCCCAGCCGCAATGCTGTGAGACCCCAAGCCACACGAGAGGCATCCTAGATGTTGCATGCAGTTTGGCAGCCCCCTCTGAGCCCAGCCTTCAAGTCATCTCAGGTGCTAGCCTTGTGACTAAAGGAGCTTCCAGATGATTCCAGCCCCCAGCCGTTTGTGTCACCCCAGCCCTCTAATCTCCCAGCTGAGGTCCCAGTCATCGTAAAGCAGAGACACGCTGTCCCTGTCCAAATTCCTGACCCACGAATCCGTGATCAGCATAAAATGCTTGTTTTAAGTCACCAGGCTTCGGAGTGGTTTGCTACTCGGCAATAGTGACACCGTCCAACGGGGTAGGGGAGGTTTTTGCAAAATATCCGAGACCCCCAGGCTCAGAAACCCACGGGGCACGTGGGCTCATCACCAATGATCTTAGGTAGAAAACGAAAGGGGAGCTGGTACCAAGTTCCCAGGCTAGCTCCTCGAAGGTGCTTCTGGGAGAAAATGGAAGAACCCTAGAGCGGGTGGTTTCACACCTTCCATTCCCTCCACCTGGAATACCCTTCCCTGTTCTTTTGCCCAGCCAGCTGCTACTTATCACCCAACACTTGGTTCAGGACGAGTCCCTTTTCTGGAATCCATGACGGCCTATGTCTCCCCCCTTTAGGGCACTCAACCACAGTATATTTCAACTGTCTTCCCAGTTAGACTGGGAGGTTTCCGGAGTTTGGCAACTCTCTCTTGCCCGTTCAGAACGTGGCCTGCCCGCAAAGCTGGTCTCCTCCCCCCCCCCCTCTGCACCTCCCCCTCCCCCCTCCTCCCACTCCTTCCCTTTCTCTCTGACACTCTGGGCTCTGCTCTACCCCCTCTTTCTTGTTGCCCAGCAGGGGCTCTGAGCCCCTCTCCCTCTCTTTCTGGGGCTCAGCTGAATTTCCCTCCACTACCGCGGATTCAGCCCCATGCCTGCTTCTCCTGCTTTGGCTGGTGCCGACTTTTGCGGTTAACAAGGGATGATAAAGTCCTTTCTAGACTCCTCTCCAGGGACCTGAGACTCAAGAGCAGACCTCAGGAGGACGTGCACTCCAGGCGGGCCCCAGCAGTCTCCCCAGTCGCCATCTGGGCCGCCGCATGAGGGCGCGGCAGCAGGAGATGGGCAGGGTGAAAGGAGGCCGAGTGGGGCCTGATCTGTCTAGAAAGTGTCACTGGCCTTTCCCACACTGAGTCGTGTCACAGAAATTGTTGCTGACAGGGGTCAGGTGGCCTAACACTGAATTTGGAGGGCGGGGATCAGTGTGAATGACACCTCGCACAGAGAAGGGGCCCAGGAGGCCCACAGGGCTAATGAAGGCAGCCAGGCATTGTGAGAGGCCTGCAGGACACTCCGGGGGCATAGCGGGGAGGCTGGGAGAGGTCTTAGCCCCGAGGGGAAGAATGCCCATGTCAGGGAAGGCACATTAACTCCTCAAAGGCCGTTCAGCTGGGCCTGTGATTGACAGGTGGGCTCTGTCAATCAGGGGAAGCTG